AGAGGGAGCTGGAGGGGTTTGGGGGGGATTGGGAAGGGGATGGGGGGGGATTTGGGGGGAATGAGGGGTCCTGGGTGGGGGTCTAAAGAGGGTTTGGGGTGGTCCCAAATGGGGTTGGGGGGGGCGGGACCTGGAGAGGTTTGGGGGGGGGTCCCATCCCATATTTGGGCTGTTCCCACCCCACATTTTGGGCTGTTCCCACCCCACATTCCAAGGTGTTCCCATCCCAGATTTCAGGGATCCCACCCCCCATTCCCAGGTTTTTTTTTTCCCCCTCACCTCTCCCTGCTTGGCTTTGGGGGCGGCTCCTCCCGGGGGGTGTCCCAGCCCGGGGGGTCCCAGGGGGGTCCCGGCCGAGCCCAATCCCGATCCCGATCCCGGCTTGTCCCGCTCCGCCCCCACCTGTGCCAGGAGCGCCGCCAGGGCCGTGTTCCCGCCGGGAATGGCCTGGGATGGGATCCCCTGGGATGGGATCCCTTGGGATTTGCCGGGTCCCTGGGGCAGCTCCCCCGCCAAGGGGCCTCCTGCAAGCACAGGGATCGGGGTTTTCCCACCTGGATCCTCCCTTTTCCCACCTGGAAAACCCCATCCCAACCCTCCCCACCTCCCTCTGGACATTTCCCAAGGGATTTTCCCACCCCAAAAATCCCCCGGAAAGGGGAAAATTCCCCTCAATCCCAGGGGGAAATCCCCGGGATCCCCAGGCTGGGGTGCCGGAATTCCAGGATTTACCTGCGGGAATGTCTCCCAGGAGCTTCCCGGGGTGGGGCTGGGCCAGGCCCAGGGGGAGGGAGCTCAGCGGGGAATCGCCCAGAATTCCCGGTTTCTGGAAGCGGGAAAAGCGGGAGAAGGTCAGGAAGAGCTGGATTATCCCACAGAAAATCCATGGAATGCCCAGGGAGGGAGCAGAGAAGCCCCGGATTGAGGCCTAAAACCCCCTCAGGGAAAGTGGGAAAGACACAAACTCAGGAATTCCAGGGCTGTCTGGAATTCCAAGCTGGGAATTCCTGCTTTTCCCACCCCTCCCCCTCCCCCTCTTCCATCAGGATCCCGGTTGGAGCCGCTTTGGGATCACTGGGATGGGGAGGGGACGGGAAAGGAGCCGGGAGGATCCCTTGGGAATGTTCCAGCTGGAGGAACAGATCCCATGGGAAAAGGGCTGGGAAAAGGGATTGGGAAACAGTTGGGATGGGGAAAGGGTTGGGATTGGGAAAGGGTTGGGATTGGGAAAGGGTTGGGATTGGGAAAGGGTTTCTTTTGGAAAAGGGTTTGGGAAAGGGTTGGGATGGGAAAAAAGGATGGGATTGGGAGAAGGATCAGGTTTGGGAAGAGTGGGAAAAGCTTTTGGATTTGGGAAGAATGGGAAAGATTTGGGAAAAGCCTTTGGGAAAAGCTCTGGGAAGGCCCAACCCTCCCTTTTCCTCTTTGAAAAACCCCCAGCCTGGAGAATTCCCAACCCAGCCCACACCCCCCCCCCCCCCCCCCCCCCCCCCCCCCCCCCCCCCCCCCCCCCCCCCCCCCCCAATCCCATCAGAGCCCCCTTCCCGCGGAATTCCGGGCGGGAATCACCTGGGAGGGGCCGTGCAGGGCCAGCCCCAGCAGCGCCGCCGACAGGGCCGGGTGGCTCAGGGGGGGCACCGAGGGAGCCGCTCCCAGAATTCCTGCTGGGAAGAGACTCGAGGGCAGGGCTGGGAATTCCCCCCCTCCTTTCCCAAGGGAAGGAAAGGGGGAAGGTTTTCCCGGGATTTCCCGGCCTCCTTACCCTGTTTTCCCTGGAGCAGGGCCGGGAGCAGCAGCTGCAGCGAGGTGGGGTTGCCGAGGCTCCGCAGGATCTGCAGCAGGGAGGGCTCGGGAAGGAGCCCCTTCCCGCGGTTCAGGGCCTGCAGGAAACCAGGGGAACGTCGGGAATTCGGGATGGGGGAGCCCCCGGGGGCAGCAGGAGCAGCGGGGGCCCCAATCCCAAAAAAAAATGTAGCCTGTGGTTCCCTAATTCCTGAGGGTCCCCTAATTCCCGAGAGTTCCCTAATTCCTTTGGTTCCCTAATTCTTGAGGGCTCCCTAATGTCTCTGCTTCCCTAATTCCTGAGGATTCTCCAATTCCACTTGTTCCCCAGCTCCTGAGAGTTCTCTAATTCCAGTTGTTCCCCAGTTCCTTTGGTCCCCAATTCCCGTGGTCCCCCAATTCTCCTGTATCCCCCAACTGCCAGGCTCCCCCAATTCCCGCATTCTCTCCATTCCCACATTCCCCCAGTTCCCGGGAATGCCGAGGGGCAGCAGTAGGAGGGTCCCACCGTGGCCTGGGCGGCGATGAGGGCGGCCAGGGTGCTCCTGCCGGGGGTGCCGGGGGCGCAGAAGGACACCCGGATGTGATTCCCGGCCAAGGGAAATCCGTCCGTGGCCTCCTGGACTCGCTCGGCCCATTCCGGGGACTCCAATTCCAGCACGGCAAAGCCCTTCAGCTGCCCGTCCTGCCCGTAGGCCAGCTGGGAAAACATGGATTAAGGCTTGGGAGGGAGCCGGGAATGGCAGGGAAAGGGGGGGAAAGGGTGGGAAAGGGGTGGGGAAAAGGGCAGGGAAAAGGGTGGAAAAAGGGGATTGGGATTGGGGGGGAAAAGGAGGGAGGGATGAGGGGGAAAACGGAGAGAAAAATGGGGAAGAGGGTGGGAAAAGGGCAGGAAAAGGAGGGAGGGAGGGAGGAAGGAGAAGGAGGAAAGGGAGAGGAAAGGAGCAGAGGGTGGGATCGCGAACGGCTCCGAAGACGCCCCTTCCCCTCTTCCCAGTGCCCTTCCCTCATCCCACACTCCATCCCTTCATCCCACACTCCATCCCCTCATCCCACACTCCATCCCCTCATCCCACACTCCATCCCCTCATCCCACAC